TTGAGTAACGTAACGGAATACGTTACAGAATACATTTTGGGGCATGTATTCTGTAATCTGTAATGGAATACATTTTAAAAGTAACCTTCCCAACACTGCTTGCATGTTAAAAAGCTAAAATATAACAAACAAAACGAAACCTTTTAATTGCCCAACCCTATCTGTCCCCTCAACGGGTTGTATGTTTTCAATGTTTCCTTATTATTTTGTCATAATTACTTCTATCCACAACAAACAAAATGCCCCACAACAAAAGACAGCACCTGTGAAATGTGAAATGTCCTAAATCTACTTCCTACACCCCCTTTTTTCCCAGAATCCCAATTTAAACCCACTTCTGACTTCCCTCAGTGCTCACTGTAAACTCCAAAAAGATACAATTAGCTTTTTCTGGTAAAAGGTCCTAGATTATTTTGTCAATCTTTGGAAAACATCCTCTATAGAGTTAACCCGTTTCATCTTTAAAACTTAGTCCTGGTTTCTTCGCCCCCTTTAATGGGTAGAGCATATCCGGCCTGAACACTGTGTTTGGGCAATTTACATAACATAGAAATCCTACAAACTATTCAATATACACAACAAATTGTCTGAAACTGGGCGATTCTCTGTGCTCTGTGCTTCGTTTGAGTCCCCCTTTCTCTGGTTGGTTCCGTTTGGTCTGGGGCTTCCAGGATTCTCTGTCCTGCATTCTTCACTGTCTCTCTTTAACTGCCATGTTATTGCTCTTTGGAACTGCATTCCTTGTCTTCAGTTAGGAGCAAGAGCTCGCTTGTCAGGTTTAGTGACACATGACGCTGTAAACAATTCAACCAGAAACTTGGCCTGAACGTTTCCAGTGATGTTAACCTATAACTTTCTTTCGACTGCTGCATGTGGAAAATTGATCAAGGTCTGCTTTGCACCTAAAAGTGACAAAACTAAGACATTTTCATTATTATCATCACTGCTTAAACAACACACTTCTCTCTCTCCGGCCAGAAACACCAATTTATGTCATGTATTCACATTCATAAGTGTAAGCTGATCTTCATTGCCTCGATGTGTTTTTATAATCAGGTTGAATTCATGCATCTTTGCACTGAGCTGTGGATTCAAACTATCTCACTTCTGATTCTCTCCAAAAATAATTTCACATGTAACAATTTGTGTATGTGTGTTTTCTATTCATTCATGTAATTAGTAGCTTATGTATTTCTTTCTCTCTCTCCTTTTTTTTAAAAAATTTACTTTCTGTTATGATGCTCTGGACATTTCTAAACCTCCACCAGTTCAGCCTCAATTTTCAATCCAATTCCCCATACGCTCTCACTCCAACTCATCCGGGCTTGACCTCTCACTCATTAACAAAAGCAGACCACTGTAGCAGTAAATTTAATTTGATAGAGGAAAATAATTACAACCCAAGTAATATTTATGAGTCAAATAGGGGATCGCTAGACTTTTCATATAAAAATGCAGTTATAGAATAACAAAGACTTGTCCAAGTGACCAAGGTTTTTATCCTTTAAAACAGTAAATTATTAAAAGAGCTGGTACTGGAGGGAGACATGTGTTGTACCTTCATCCCGAACAATACTGCTCCAGATGGCTCAGTAACCCGAGCTCTGGAGGGGCTGAAAACTCTGTCTAACACCATGCATGAACACTCGGGAATTGACAAGCCGCTGGACATCTGGATGACCTCTGTGCTTGGGAAATGGAAGGGGTTTTTCATGTCTGCAATGTTTTTTTAGGGATACTGGTCACCTGCGGTTGTTGTCTCATTCCTTGTGCCAGAGGACTGCTGGAAAAGGTAATAACGAGGGCAGTGGACCCCGGAGCGGTAGTTCCGGTGGCCATGATGCCATTGATGGACTTAGAAGCGGCCAAAATGGCCGAGGAGTGACACAACATAAAGTGCCGTGACCTTTCTTTTTGAAAGGTCAAGAGTGTCAGGCGTTGTGTGGAGGCGAGGAAGAAGGAACCCAAACGCAGGACTCACAGGTAGGTGAAGACTGGTGAAGGTTTATTATAAGGAGTGAATGAACAAAGGGTGAACGGACACTGACTGGCTGGATCACTGAATGGCTGACTGAACTAAGAGAACACACGGGAAGGACAACGGACTGAGTGGCTGGCTGGCTGGCGGAAACGACGACATAACATCAACATCAATGACACGACAAAGAACGAGTAGAAACAGAAGACTTAAATACACAGACTGATGAGGATGATAATGAGAGACCGGTGAGTACACAGCTGAACATAATCTGGCTAATGGCACGAAACGAGCTGACACGGGGAACAAACAGGAAGTGAAACAGGCAGTGGCAAAATAAACCGAACATGAACAAAACTGAAAGCACTGGGCCGATGACCCAGGAACCCTGACAAAGAGAGGGAAGGATAATCCTGGGAATAAAGAAAATATTTTACTGCTGCAATATAGCCTTTAACATTGCATTAAAATGTTTATTAAAGCTACTGGCATTAGACTAAAACTTTTATTAAAGGTGCAGCTATAATCATTGTATACACACATTGCAGATCGTGCTCATGAAAGAGTTGTTGCTCAGTCTATTCAAGGTCTTAAGCTTCGTTTGGCGCGATGACCCGGCGATCTATTGTGTAAGTGACTTGGAGCAATAGAAGGTTAAACCGCATACACGCTTACAAACACAAATGATTTAAACTTAGGCCACGCCGAGGGCCTGGAATTCATTTAGCTTCTAACTGCATTTGAGCTGCCTAGTAACAAGTGACAGAAGAAGAGTCAAGAAATTGTAAGTCCCCAGGAATCATAAGGAAGGTGAAACAAATTGCCATGTATGGAAGAATGTGACAGAAAGAGGAACGTCTCTGTCTGTTTTTATGCTGATATGGTGATGGTGTATATCTTACCCTGGGTGTGTTTAATAAAATTAAAAATGTTGCTCACACACATAAAGAACGTTGAGCGTAGGTAAATTAAGATTAAGTAAAGATTAAGTAAAGTTAATATAGAGGATAGAGCCCAGAACATGATATTTTGAACCAACTTTGAAT